CACACACACACACAGGCATGCCATTATGTTTTATTAAGGAAAATCTTAGGGGATAAAAAAAGAGCACAAAGCCCAAAATATCAGTCAAGCATTCTTATATACACATTGACAGTGTGCTGAGTAACTAGCATATCCCTTCCCAAAAGTCAGTGTGATGATACCAAGCATTAGAATAAGGAAGCCATTCAAGTACACTGTTTGCACTTCAAAGAATGAAATCTGATGAGTTATTTACTTCCTCATTCAGGTGTACATGTTTTCATATAAATCAACTCTGGCATATACCATAGAGTTCACACTGAAGTTGAAACCCAAATCCTTGATTTCCACTCTCAAATCCTGTTCTACCTAGTCATGAACCTTCTAAGATATGATCCCATGGTCAAGCCCAATGCAAGAGGTCACCACTCACTGATTCTTGACTATAAACTTAGCATGTCTTACCTCTTTCCTTTAATACACACGGTCAGCTATACTCTAGATTTTTTTTCTTTTTTTGTTTTTTGTTTTTTGGTCTTTTTGAGACAAGGTCTCCCTATAGCTCTGGCTGGCCTGGAACTCACTATGTAGACCAGGCTGGCCTTGAACTCACAGAGATTTGCCTGCCTCTGCCTCTCGAGTGCTGGGACTAAAGGCACGTGCTACCACACCAGGCTCCTACTCTAGATTTCTAATGTCACCACTAATGTCACCACTACTACAGGCTCAGTCAATCCTTGACTCTCACTTAGACTGTGGTAAAAACCTTCTAGTGATTTCTTTCCATCAGTATCTTTTAGAATCTTTGAAGCAAATGATCATTTTAAAATTAAGATCATTGTATAAAACTAAGATCCCTGTATACACTCTGTCTGTGGCTTTGCACTGTCCTGCATGAAAAATTGAGCTAGCCTGCTGGCCACTAGCTCTTCAAGTTCATCTCACCACACATTTCTCCCTGTTGTGATCCTGCCTGTCAAAACTGACAATTCCTAAAACCCAGTAGACCCTTGAGTGTTCTCCAGCACAGAAAGCACCTTTGAAGGCTAGCCCCTCATTATTTATCTATTACCCCAGTAACCATCACTGTAAACCACTTGCAAATCAACTTCAATCTTCAAGTAGTTTATTTATTAATTGGGTATTTCTTCCCAACAACAAATAAAATCCAGACAGTGTTTCACTGCTGTTCTCCAAGTGCTGGGGTTATACGCATGCACCATCGTGCCTGCCCAGCTTTGTCACTGCTATTATCTCAGTATCCTTTGTAGTCCAGGTCAGCAGTATTTATTGTAAACATGGCATAACAACATAAAGGAAAGCTAAGTATTTCTATTTCAGTAGTATATTAAGTCTGATCTATTAAAATAATGAAAAATATCCACAAGAGCAATAAGAATTTGGTGAAAACCTACCCAATGCACAATAATCCCTAAAACCACTAGAAATTCCTGATCTGACTTTGGTAATCTCAGTTTCACCTCTGACCCCAGCTCCTGCCCCCTCTCACCCCCCAGGCCCCAGTATGTACCTTATGCTGTTTCCCTTTGGGATTTCAGTTCTTCAGAGAGGCAATAACTCCAGATATGCACAGCAAGAGACACACTGAGATCACTGAGGTCAAGTTTTGGGGATAGAAGAGGTATTTCTGTTTTAGTTTATATCTGAGACTTTCTAGCAATGTCCGTTTGCTTTAAGAACATGAAAGGCATCTAATTACCTACAAGGGTGAGGGCTGTAAACACAGGCTCATTTTCCTATCACAGAATTAGTAGCATGTGTTTTTCTGAGGCAGATTAGTTTGGATGTTCTGTACTGTTTTAGATTTCAAGGTAAAACATCACAGCCACTGCCGCAGTGTGTGCCTTCTTCCCAAAACTACCCGCAGTAAAATTATGTAGTCTGTCTTATGCAATCTTGCCAAATCTCAGATAATGCACTAGAATCTATGTAAGTACTTTCCACCGAGGGCATATTCTATTTATCTTATTCATTCTGTTTTTCCAGATTTGAAAAATCACCCTCTTTATCCCTATGATTGCGTTTTCTATTTTACTGCAAAATGAAGTATTCTTCCCTAATAAGTGTATTCCTAAAATCAACTACGTAATATAAACTGAGGATATATCTCTAGTTGCATTATTTTGCTACTGGGAAATCAGTCTTGGAGACGATTAACACTATATTTTTAATGTTAACACAAAAATATTAAAATTCTAACTTTTAAAAGTAATGCCTATAATAAAGCTGTCGCAAATTCTCCTTTCTCACTCTAACCCTTTACCCCCCTAAATTATCTAATACCCAAAGACTTCTGAATTTATAACTATCTAATTTTATTCCTAATTATTTCAGTGTTTGCTGTTGCAGTCAGAAAAGACATAAAAATGCTAAGGCAAACTTTCATGAGCACAACCCTCCTGCTTTACTGCAATTGTTTTATCATTAAGAATGATTCTTTGGGGGCTGGAGCAATGGCTCAGCAGTTAAGAACACTGACTCTTCTTGCAGAAGACCCAAGTTCAAATCCCAGCACCCACATGGCAGCTAACAACTGTCTCTAACTCCAGTTCCAGGGAATCCGACAGTTTCTTCTGTCCTCCGTGGGCATTGCATGACATGGGTGCATTTACCTATATGCAGGTAATACATGCATATACATAAAATAAAATTAATAAATAAAATATTTTTTAAAAAAAGAATGATTCTTTGTAAAAAAGCTCATCAAATTTCCTTTCTGAGTCTGAATAACGCATTGTATTTAACCAGAGTAACACCGTCACTTTGCTGTGAAGTTGTGTCCATAAACTAGAGATGAAAGTAAAGCTAGTTTCTAGTTTTGGTTTTTAGAAAATATACTGCTCCTGTCAATACCCCTCTCCTGTCTTAAATCAACATGTCCAGCACACAGAGCTGGAAGCACTGCAAATAATTGCACAAAAGGAAAAAGCCACAGAACTCAGAATCCCAATGAGTTCACAACACCTGCAAATAAAAAACTAATCAGTTCATTTCAGTTTGAAGGGGAGTGTGCACAATATGGGGAATGAGAATCAGAGGATTACAAACCTACAGAATCACTGCAGTGAGAGCATAACGTACGTCTCATCTTTGCAACCTTCTACCTTACACAGTTCACACAGTGCTCCATGGAAGATGCCAGGCCTTACCTCACAGCACAGGTCAGTTACAGCAGTCAATGGCCTGTTTTCATATGATTGTGTGGACTAAAGCTAACAAGAACGCAACAGAGACTTACCTTCAAAAACGGATCCCAATTCATATTTTCCACTGAAAAACTGTGGCAGGGAAAACACAAGCGCCCCCAGTCCTATCATAAAGGATGCAAATGCAAGCCATCGTGGTTTGTGTCCTCTCTCACCAAAGAATGATACAAATAAAGACAGGATGCAGAATGAGATGTCGTAGCTTGATGATATCAAGCCAGTCAAGGAACTCTTCATTTCATAGCGCTTCTCAATGGTGGAGATGCTGATATTTACTAGGCCATTTACTACAATACCTAAAACAGAGCAAAGGAAATTAATGTGCATTATTGTAACTTTATTATGCAAAAGATTAGTAACACAAAGTACTAAGGTTAGTTTCTTTTGTTATTTTTTTAATATTTTATTATTTTCATTTTATGTGTACAAGTGTTTGTCTCATGTATGTATGTGCACCCATGTCATGCAATGCCGGCTGAGGTCAGAAGAGGGTGTCGGATCCTCTGGACCTGCAGTTATGGGTGGTTGTTAGTCACCATGTAGGTGCTGGGAACTGAACCCTGGTCCTCTGCAACAACAGCCAGTGCTCTGAACCTCTGGGCCATCTCTTTAGCCTTTTTCTCTTTTTAAAATGTGTCAGTTTAAGCCAAGCTGGGGCGTGGTGGCACATGCCTTTAATCCCAGCACTTGGGAGGCAGAGGCAAGTGGACCTGAGTTCGAAACCACACTGGTCTATATAACCAGTTCCAGGCCAACTGGGGCCACAGGGAGACCCTGTCTCAAAAAGACCCCACCCCCCAACCCCCCAAAAATGTGTCAATTTAGTTTGGCAGCCCAAATAAATTTCCTAGAAAATCGTTTTACTTTTCATACTGCAAATTTTGGTGTTCTCATGTTTTCAATGAAGCTGATGCTTACCGCATCATAAGTTGTGGTTAACTATTTTAATTTACTTTTCTTTAAATGGCAAACAAAAGTCAGAATGGTAAAGACTCATGAAACCAGCTTGCTAGAGTTCTCAAGTTGAGCACATATCCATAGAACTCTCTGCAAAGAGTACAGAAAGTACAAGTGGCCACACAGGACACTACAATAAGGTTCAAATGCCACTTAAGTCTTAGACATATTTATCTGTAACTACAGTTCTTTTTAACTTAGTATTAAGTGAAAATTGAGATCCAAGTCTATTTCTATCTAACACTTCCACAGATACTAAGGCTGTCTTTTTCCCCTCTCTTTTGAAATAGTGCCTTCTTGTATACCTCTTGGCTAAACTAGAATCATCAGTGTTCTGTCAGCCTTGGCTTCCCAAGTCATCGACAAATGCTTACTTAGCAGCCAAGGTATGTAAGGCAAGGGGCACTGGGCTCCTTGGAGTGTGTGTGTGGTGGGGGTAGCAATAAGAACAGAATGTGATGCAAGCCTTTAATCCCAGCATCTGGGAGGCAGAGGCAGGTGGATCTCTGTGAGTGGAGGCCAACCAGGTCTTTTATCTCTAGGGTTGCACTACTTCAAACAGTCCTAGACTATTTACGAAATAGTTTGAGATTATTCAAATTACAACAAAAAGTCTTCCTACCAAATTCAAATTAACCTTCAAACTGCCCCACCCTCCCACCCATTCCTCCATAATTTGTCACTTTAGTATAACTTCCCATTTCCTGGTCCCCTGAATACAGGAAAATCCCAGTTTGTTTTTGTTTTTCTTTTATGAAATAGGGTTTGCCTGTAGCCTCAGGGGGCCTGAAGCCTATATCAGGCCCGCCAGGATCTCACAGAGATCTTCCTGCCCCTGCCTCTGGAGCTCTGGGATTAAGGGCGCGCACCAAAACCCAGACCCATTCCCAGCAACTTTTAACCTTCTTTATGCTTCCCTTCAAGGGAACCCTACTCCCTCCACTATATCCTCTGCTCATCCAAACTCAGTTTAGATTGCATAGTCCTGAGGGGATAAATCTAGACTTAATCTGTAACTCCCGAGAGAACTGAAAAGAGATCCTAGAACAAAACAGACACTGGATAACTCCTGTGACTGAAGAGCTAACAAAGGCTCAGCCTTCAGGGTTGGAAGCTTTTGCGCTACACTTTTGCCTACATTCTCAAATACCCACAATATGCTACCTATTTTAAGCACTCCTTTCTCCCTGCCTTCCTTTTGGAAGCAAGCTACACTCATCTGCAAAGTTTTAATCCTGCTGTAAAAACAATGAAAAAGAAAAAAAAGAAAAAATCGCGTCCCTAGATCTCAATAAAAAAGTACACGTTTATAAAGCAGACCCGTTTATCCTCCGGCAAACCGTTTCCCAAAAGGCAGTCCTTGTTATCTTCCCTGAGGGAATCTACTCTGCTAAACTGAGACAGAATCACAGAATAGTACATGCTTGTGTGCCGAGTTTTACAGGCTACAGTCTAAAGGGGAAGCTAAAATGTGGAAGGCTGAACCTGGTGGGCCCCCGCGGGTAAGAGCTTCTGGAAGTTTCCAAGCCCCAAGGCGCATCGCATGCCATCAACTCAGAAGACAGGGTAGGGGTCCCTTGCACCTGCCCCCTCCCCCCAAGCTCTCGGCTCCTCGGAAGATCCCAGGAGTTGGTGCTAGACTTTACCTTGCGTCAGGGCCAAGAGGCAGTAGTGCAGGAGAAAGCCTTGCGGTGTGTTGCAGCGCTGGAGACACTGGGGGTGGAAATCCTTCCACCCGCAAGGCCCCTCCTCAAGCTCGGACCACGCCTGTGACCCTGGCGGCTCCCCCGGAGCTGGGGGACTTGCAGAAGGTAGAGGTGGCTCTGATGGCTCCTGGGGCTCCCCCGACTCCGGGGTCTGCGAATCCTCACTCTGGTTGCCGGAGGTCACACCAGGGACCTCCACCTGGGAGGGTGATGCAGAAGCTCGGCGCGGCGTGTCCGGGCTGGAGGGGACGAAAGCCAGGTTCTCGATACCCTCGGCGTCCTGCATGGTCAGGAAGGGTTCTCTGGACTCCCGTGCCCCGGAGCCACGAAAGGTGCAGCTTTTTTCCTGGCCCCGCCCCGGGACAGGTGACCGCGCCCCTGTGCGGGAGAACTCCCCGCCTCCCGGCCCTCCCACCTCCTCCCCGAAACCTGCACTGGCACTCGTGGAGCGTCCAGTCCTCCAGAACTGGGCGAGGGCCTGCAGCTGCTTCACCACACCAGTGGCCTCCCGGGACAACCCCAGTGCTCTGCTGGGGTGTGCGACCTGCCCACGCCAGGTGAGGGCGTGGGCGCCGCTGTCGCGGGCCCTTTCCCCAAGCCCAGGGCTGAGAATAAATAAAGACTTTGATAGTCTCCGGACTAAGGCTTCCCATTCACCGCCCCACCCCCGCCCCCACCGGGGTTCCTGTAAGAAAACTGTAAACACAGTTGCACCAGGAGATCTTCAGGAAAATCTATCCTGAGCTCCAACAATCAGGTAGCCCTCAGGAATAATACTTCGGATTCCATTAAGTGTATGGTAAGACTTTGCCCATAGCGAAGCCTCCCAAGAAACAAATCCACTCCCTTCACATCACCACCACCACCACCACCTACACAATACAATATAACCATCTTTTGGATTTTACTTCCTCCAAACCGAAGGAATAGAAATTAAGACGCTTTAGAAACACACATATGAGATTCTCTGGCTAGCATATTGCAAGCCTAAGATAGAAAATGATAATTTTATAATATGTGTGAACGAAATCACTTGGAAGGCATTAGTACTATTGTGCGATTGATAGTAGTTCCAGTTCATTCATTTACTAATTCTTCCATCATCAAAAGTATTAATTTCTTGAGTACTAAATACTATCTTAGTCTGAAGGAATACACCAGCCAAGAACAACTGGCAAATTCCCCCAACTGTTAAGGTGCTCACATTCCAATAGGAAGCAATCAGTTACATTATGTACACAGTATGTTACATAAACCCAGTAAATGCTGTTTTGTGAAGCTTTTGTTTCAATGATATAGGCTGTATTTACTGGGTTGAAAGATTGAGATGTAAGCCAGATATATTACTCTGAACAGTCAAAAAACAGTCTAGCCTTTCCTAGGACCTTAAAGAGGAGAAATAAGAATGAACATTTTTTAACATGGCTGTTATATTCCCTGTTACCAGTCCTTACATGAGCATAATTATTATTATGTACTTTTTGCACAGGAAGGACCTCTACCCTAAGGAGGATCAGAAACTCTCCCAAAGTAGCATGCTGATAAGTAGGAACTTGAACTCAGTTCTCTCCCTCTGGACTTTACATTTTCTGTCTTTTAATTACTGCAGCCTACATGTGATGGTTAGATTATTACATAGCCATTCTGAGAGATTAAAAACTCATACTTCTGCTGGGCATGGTGGCGCAAGCCTTTAATCCCAGTACTCAGGAGGCAGAGGCAGGCGGATCCTCTGTGAGTTGAAGGCCAGCCTGGTCTACAGAATGAGTTCCAGGCAGCTGGAGCTACAGGGAGACCCTGTCTCAAAAAGACCAAAAAGCCGGGCGGGCGTGGTGGTACACGCCTTTAATCCCAGTACTCAGGAGGCAGAGGCAGGCGGATCCTCTGTGAGTTGAAGGCCAGCCTGGTCTACAGAATGAGTTCCAGGCAGCTGGAGCTACAGGGAGACCCTGTCTCAAAAAGACCAAAAGACAAAACAAAACAAAACAAAAAACTCATACTTCTCTGATATCTGTGAGGTTTAGAGTATGTGTTGTTCTAAATGTCTCACATTCTGGGGGTGCCCAAATTAACCATCACATGTTATCCTCTGAGGCCCTCTTTCAACAGAAATGGACTCAAAGTATATATTCATCCATATAAATAGATGCCATCATTTTAGCTACAGAATATGAAGTGATTAACCTAGCCAGCATAGCTGGGATTAATCATGTGTGATTACCTACAACCACAGCTTCTTTGCGAATTTGATGTAGCAAATTCAAACTATCCTACCCAAATCAGAGTGACAGCAGCATCACCCACTTATATTTAAACTCAGGAGACAATTTCGCTCTCAGAGCGATAGTAAGTGGACTTTTGTTCAAAGATTAGCAAAACTGCTGTTTCTTCATCTTAAATACACATTGCTGTTACTGAAGATGTTACAGTCATTTTCCTGTTACCTTATCTTCTTTGTTCTGCAATAATGGAAGGGAGGGGATTTGCAAGAAACATGAAAAACATACTCAACTCATTTCATGTCTGATTCATGAAGGAAATTTGACAGTATGACCATTTAGCAAAATAACAGTAGTTGGTTTCACCCTAGGGCCTGTGACTTTCCCAGCCAAGCATGAAATTTATTCCTTTGAAACAGACTTCAAATCCAGTCAGAAAGTGGTTAGCTACCCCATATCAGTGGGCACATCTTATCTGGAAGGCTGGTATTGCACCAGGCAGGGTCCAGCCCTGGATAAGGCCATTGATGTTTTTTTCTAACCCACGAAAGCTAGCCATCAGAAAGGAAGTTTCCCTGATCAGTTTGAGATTGATTTTCTTAAGTCCTGCAACCAAAGTGTGTGATGTTTTCGGGAATAGGGTTTACCTTACCCTAGGGCAAGTGCAATAGCCTGTGTTGTTTTGGAGACCTCTGGGTCCTCCCTGACCAATTACTCATAGGGAGGTATCCCATGCCTTGTATTATGATTTTCATTCAATAACCCATGTCTTCTGAATGTAGCATTACCCACCCATGCAAGGTGATTCCATTTGACATTTTTTTAACTTTATTTTTATTTTATGTGTATGAGTGTTATACCTGCATGCATATAAGTGCACCCCTGTCATGCAAAGCCTGAGAAGGTCAGAAGAGGGCATTGAATCCACTGGAACTGGAGTTACAGATAGTTGTTAGCTGCCATGTGGATGCTAGGATTCAAATTAGGTCTTCTGTGATAACAGTGTTCTTAACCACTGAGCCATCTCTCCAGCCCATTTTTTTAACTTGTGCTTTGAAATTAGCTTACTAACTGGTGGGTTTCCATAAAATTTTGTATACCTCTTTAGTTTTTATGAAACCATTCATTACTCCTTTCTCTTAGTCTTTAACCCCCAGTATTCCTCCCTTCTTTCATGCCACATGTGTTCTACTAGCCCTTCAATTATGTATTTTAATTGGATTGTGAGATAGTAGGCTTCTATAAAACTTTTCACACCTGCTTCCTTTGGATTAGCCCCCCCCTTCTGATTTCCTCCATATCCTGCACCCTTCCCCGTTTATGCCTTTATGCCCCCAATATTCCACCTCTATGCTACTTTCCTTTTTCCTGTAATCTAATGTCCCATCTCCATTAACATGCCCCAGAAAAGATCCCTTTGTAGTTTCCTGGCTTCCACTTGTGCTTTAAGTTAAACATCTAAAACAAAATATTTGAAGCTAGGGTCTGAGTACAAGAGTGAATATATGATGTTTCTGTTTCTGGGCCTGTGTTACCTCAGCCAGTATAATTTTTTCTAGTTCCAACCATCTACCTAAGAAATTCATAATTTATTTTTTTGGGTGAATAATATTTCCATTCCTCTGTTGATGGACATCTAGATGGATTCCATTTTCTAACTATTGTGAATAGAACAGCAGTGAATATGCACATATAAGTATTTCTGTAGCAGGGTATAGAGTCCATTGAGTATACACCCAGGTAGAACTGGACAGGGTCTTATGTATCCCAGACTGAATAGCTGAGGATAATCTTGAACTTTTGATATGTCTGCCTTCATCTTCACAGTGTTAGGTTTACAGGTTTGTGCCACCACATCTGGTCTATGTGGTGTTAGGAATAGAACCAGGGTCTCATGCATACTAGGCAAACACTCTACCACCTGAGCTATATTCCCAGGACCAGTATGCTTTTTCTTTTATTCATACTAGTATGAATCATTGAGATAGATTTACATAAATATAGTTCATTTATTTTTAAAAAGAAAGCATGTAAATATCCAATAACCCAGCAAGAATGCTAAACTTTTAGGTACTGAAAAATACTACTATAAAATTATTACACAGTATCAATTTAAGCTTTTATTTATTCCAAACACAGTTGATCTTTATAAAAGTGTACTTATTATATAAATATTCAGCAATATAGTAATCATAATTATATAACTGAAGTAAAATACCTGGTAGTAAAATCAGTAATGAAGTCATTATTTCTAAAACACATTTCTTTTCTACTTAGTATCTATGATTCTGCAAAAGATAATAAACACAATATCATAAATATGATTAAATGTCATCTTGCCTGAATAGAAGGCCCAAGCTACAATTTCATTCTTTACTTTCTTTCCTTCTTTCTTTCTCTTTTTTAAAACAAGGGTCTCCCTGTAGCCACAGCTGGCCACTGGCCTGATTCTCATGGAGCTCCACTTGCCCAGAGTGCTGGGATTAAAGGCATGTGCCACCACACCTGGTTTATTACCTGTTTCTTGACTAAAGGAAGTAGTAAGATGAAAACAGGTCTTTATTAAAGTTTAGATTAATAGAACTATAAGGGACATTGAGTGTCATTGGTTTCAGCTGGCTGCTTCTAGGAATTTTAATGTCAAATCTACCTGAAAGCTCATTATATTTAGAAACATGTAAGGAACCAATTAGAAATAAGATAGATGAGCAACTGAGAAGGAATTTTCACATACTCATTCATAGTAATGTTTTCTGCCTTCTGTAGGATGAATGAAGTCTATGGTAAGGTTCAGGGAACTAGCAGGTGCTTATTTATTAACAAAAGAAAAACCTCATAACATAAAAGTAAGAAAGATCTAAGTTAAAAACAGCACAAAAACTTGCCTTTCCTCTTTGCAACTGTTGAGGATGTTCTCAGGGAAGTCTCTTAAAGGGCAAGTACAAGATCTCCTATCTCATAGAAGGTATAAGAGAAAATCGTTCTATTGAGCATCTGATACTGTTCAGAATCACCTGTTGTTGTGATAGATACACTGACCAAAGCAATTTATAGAAGGAAGAGTTTG